TTTACTTAGATGGGAGTATTTTAGTTAACTGCATCCAGTTGGAGAATTACAGTCCAGTTTTGTGTTTTAACACATATCCTGGCTTTTAGAAAACATTTTCTTTGAGGTATCCAAATGTAATTTATTATTCTTTCCAGAGCTCCCTTCTCATGAAAAGTAAAGGGAAATTATTCTCATGGACATGGCAATTCTACAAGTATAAATATAAATGGGCTTCAAACAGTTCATGAAAAAAATTAGGTGAAAATACCTACTTGTACAATAGTTTTCTCTGCCTCATACCCTTCCAGTCTTTACCTTAAACCCATGTTGGAAGGGCCATGTAGGTGACTGGGATAATTTTCCATCTTCTTAATAAGAGAAATTATTAGTGGTTTGTTTGAAGACTTCTTTAGAATTGAAGAGCCTGTTTCCATCAGGAGTTTCCTCATAGGAAATTGCTAAAGAGGTTAAAAAGCCTCATTCCACACTTGTCTCATATTTAAGCAATAGTTCAAGTGAATATAACTGTATTGTATGATTTTAAAACACACTAACATCTTAAAAATTGATGAAATAAATATGTTAGCATCAGTTTTGTTTTGTTTTTAAAGTTCTTTGGGAAAGTTAAGGAAGTATGGATTGGCAAAGTTGCACATCAGTGAGCTCAAGCATGGCAACAATAGTGAAGTTGGCCCAGGATCAGGCAGTGTTTCATTCTACTGTGCATAAATAAGGTCACTACGAGTTGGTACCGACTTGATGGCACCTAACAACAACAACAACAACAACAAATCAGTGTTGGCTGTGGGAGTAGTTATTCCAAGAAGTCTTCTAATATGAGGGAACTAGGGGTTGAAAAATTCTCAGAGAAGTAAGCATGAGTTGACAAAGCATATTATTGCTATACAAAACTTTTTATTATTTATATGCCAGATATATACATTGTTTGCCTCTCATGCACTGTGACTAGAACATTTTTTTGTAAGGTGGTTTTTGGAATCTTTTCTTATTCTTCAAAGCAAACAATTAGTATAGGTTTTCCTCTTGTAAATGTGGAAAATATTTTATACTTTTAACTTGGGATTGAATTGCTGTGGAGCTCTAGCAATAAAATCTGACACAAGTTTGGCCAATATTTTAATTTTGGTTCCTTTCTTGAGAACATTGTACCATTCTGGAATCCTAGGCAATTGGCGGTTGAAAGCATACAGAAACATTTCTTCTGCTGTAAGCATGGGTGTCTTAATAGAGTTTGATCAGTAAATACAGCAGCAAAAGTTCTTTAGGTGTCTTTCAGAGCAGTGTTTATAAGTGAGAGCAAAACAATACAACATATTAGACACTGATTGATAGCAGCTGTTGGATTGGATTGTGTGTGTATGTGTGCATGTGACATATTCATTGTTAGTCAGGGACAACTAAGAGACAGCCTTGGAAGGAATGAGGCTTTACTATTATGTATGTTGAGGCTATAAAATTTTCAGTTATTCCTTCTAAAGTTGCCATGACCTTTGGTTATCATAGTATCACATGCAAAATTGAAAACATTCACTTTCCAACAGAGAAAGCACAAAATCATGGTATTTAGCCACAAATATGTTCAGCTTCTACTTCTAGTCAGGCTTACTCTCTGGGCATAAAATCTCCAGCAGGGTCAAATTCCATTTTAATTCTACTGATAAATACTACAGGTCCTGATATTCATCACCCTGAACCTTAGGAATTCAGTGATAATGACCACAATGGTCATTTGGACAAAGCAATATGTTGTGTATTGGATACAAAGGAAAACATGTAAATAAGAAGAAAAAGCTTTCCACCATTTAACAATTAGATAAGTAGGAAGAAATTAATGTAATTGCCATATTTTAATGACCAGTTTTGCTATTATTATATATGCTGTTAAGTGCCATCAAATCACTTCTGGTGAGGTCCATGTGGATAGTCGTCTGTTATGCTGTCTAAAGAAAGTATTTGAAATGAACAAATCATTGGTTTTGCAGAATTATATCATGCATTCTCCAGCATAATTTCTATCACCAGGGCCATATTTTCCAACTACTGGTCCTTCCTCTTTGCTCCCAAACTTTGCATTCCAATCACCAATAATGAGCAATACATCTTAATTGCATGTTTGATCAATTTTAGATTGAAGACGTTGGTAGAATTCTTCTATTTCATCCTCACTGGCTTTAGTGGTTGGTGTATAAATTTCAATAATAGTGGCATTAACTAGGTTTCCCTGTAGGCACATGGATATTATCCTATCACATACAGCATTGTACCTCATGACTGATCTGGATATGTTCTTTTTGACGATGAATGCAACACCACTACTTTTCAATTTGTCATTCCCGAAGTATGAGTGTTCCAGAACACTTAATTGTACTCATGAGGAATCTGTACCTGGACCAAGAAGCAGTTGTTTGAACAGAGCATGGGAAAACTGAATGTTTTAAAATTAAGAAAGGTGTGTGACAAGGTTGTATTCTTTCACCATACTTATTCAACCTGAATGATGAGCAAATAAAATGAGAAGCTGGGTTCTATGAAGAAAAACATGGCATCAGGGTTGGAGGAAGACTCATTAAAACCTGCGATATGCAGATGATACAACCTTGCTTGCTGAAAGTGAAGAGGACTTAAAACATTTACTGATGAAGATCAAAGAGCATAGCCTTCAGTATGGATTACATCTTAATGTCAAGAAAACAAAAATCCTCACCACTGGATCAATAAACAACATTCTTATCAATGGAGAAAAGATTGAAGTTGTCAAGGACTTCATTCTTCTTGGATCAACTATCAACACTCATGGAAGCAGCAGTTTCATGAGTTCAGATGATGTATTGCATTAGGCAAATCTGCTGCACAGGAACTTTAAAAGTGTTGAAAAGCTAAGATGTCAACTTGAGGACTAAGGTGTGCTTGACTCAAGCCATGGTATTTTCAATAACCTCATATGCGTGTGAAAGCTGGACAGTGAATAAGGAAGACAGTAGAAGAATTGATGCCTTTGAGTTGTGGTGTTGGAGGAGAATACTAAAAGTGCCATGGACTGCCAAAAGAACCAATAGATCTGTTTGGGAAGATGTGCAGCCTGAGTGTTCCTTAGAGGCAAAGATGGCCAAACTTCTTCTCTCATACTTTGGACATATTGTCAGCAGGGAACAGTCGCTGGAGAAGGATATCATGTTTGGTAAGATGAAGTGTCAGAGAAAAAGAGGAAGACCTCCAAAGAGATGGATTGGCCAGGTGGCAGCATCAATGGACTCAAGTGTGGCAACAGTACTGAGGTTGGCCCAGGATCGGACATTGTTTCGTTCTGCTGTGCATAACGTCGCTATGAGTTGGTGCCAACTCGATGGCACCTAACAGCAACAACATGTTGTTAAGTGACTTTAAGTATGCTCCAACTCATGTTGTTGTTGTTAGGTGCCACTGAGTTGCTTCTAACTCATAATGATCTTATGCAGAATGACACACTGCCTTGTCAGATGCCAATTTCACAATTGTTGCGTTTGAGCACATTGTTGTTGTCACTATGTTAAATCCATTTTGTTGGGTGTCTGCTTCTTTTTCACTCACACTCTACTTTATCCAACATGATGTCCTTCTCCAGGGACTGTTCTGATAATATATCCAAAGTATGAGAGATGAAGTCATTGGTCATCTTAGCTTCTAAGGAGCATTCTGGTTGCGCTTCTTCCAATACTGTTCTTCTGGCAGTCCACAGTACTTTTAATATTTTTCTCCAAAACCCTAACTCAACTACATCGATTCTTCTATGGTCTTCCTTATTCATTGATCAACATTCACATGCATATAAGGCTACTGAAAATATCCTGGATTTGGTCAGGTGCACCTCAGTGCTCAAACTGACATCTTTGCTCTTGAACACTTTAAAGAGGTCTTGTGCAAAAGATTTGCCTAATGCAATACATCATTTGATTGGCTGTTGCTTCCATGAATATTGATGGTGGATACAAGTAAATTTAAGTCTTTGACAACTTCAATATCTTCTCCACTTATCATGATGTTATTTATTAGTCCAATGGTGAGGATTTTTGTTTTCTTGACATTGAAGTGCAGCCCATACTGAAAATTGTGGTCTCTAATCCAACTCACTGCAACCCTGTATAGGGTTTCCAAGGAGCAGATGGTGGCTTTTAACCATTGGCCGTGTGGTTAGCAGGCCAGTGCTTATCCTCCAGTACCACAGTAAGACTCATATGTATGTATGTTGTATGCATGCTTCATCTTTCTCCCGTGGAAAAACTGAATGTATTTCTAGTTTTGAATGTATTTCCAGTTTTGAACTGCCGACCTTGAGGTTAGCAGCCCAATTTGTAACCACTATGCTACCAGAGCTCCTTATATGTATGTATGTGTATATATGTGTGTGTGATATACATACATATGTACATATGTATGCATATATATGTATATACATGTATATGTGTGTGTGCATGTATGTGTGCTGGTAAGTGCTGTTGAGAGGTGTGTGTGTTGTTAAGTGTCATTAAGTTGGTTCTGACCCACAGCAACCCTACATAGGGTTTGCAAGACTTTTAAATCTTTGTGGGAGCAGAAAGCTTCATAATTCTCCCAAGAGACATCTGGTAGGCTTGAAACAAAGACCTTGTGGTTTGCAGTCTAGTGCTTATCGTATGGAGCCACTGTGCTTAACACACAGATACATAAACACACATATAATCATATAAATATATATGTTGTTGTTGTTATGTGCTGTTGAGTCAGTTCTGACTTATAGGGACCCTGTATAGGATTTCTGAGGACCAGCTGGTATATTTGAATCATTGACCTTGTGATTCAAACCAACCTTGTGGTCGAGTGCTTATCCTATAGTGGCTCACAAGGACACCTATATATAATTATTAAAGTCTTTCTATAAATATATTTTTGTATAAATATAGGAGAGGATGATATAATAAAATCTTGGGTAACTTCTCTCTAAATAGTGTAAGTTTTATCTACTATAGCTTAGTTGTTTAGGTTTAAGCCATTTGTCGAAGAGGGTTTCTTTGTGTAATCCTTTGAAAGGCTTCCTTCACTTCCTTGTTCCTTAAGGTATAGATGACAGGATTCAAAGCAGGAGTGACCACTGTGTACATGAGGGCAGTAGCCTTGTCTGTTTCTGGAGTGTGGGCAGTCTTAGGTTGTAGGTAAGTGAATAAGGCAGTCCCATAGAACAGAGAAACAACTAGGATATGAGAAGAACAGGTGGAGAATGCTTTGTGCCTGCCAGCTGCTGAGGGGATTCTCAAGATAGCCATAAGGATGCGAACATAAGAGCACAGAATGAGGAGACAGGGACTCATGATGAAGAGCACTGACACGGCAAACATCACTATCTCATTGTGGGAAGTATCAACACAAGCCAGTTTCACCACAGGCATGATATCACAAAAAAAGTGCTGAATCTTTCCGGTTCCACAGAAGGGCAGAGTGAAAATCCAAGTGGTCTGAACTGACTCCACCACCACTCCAGTGGTCCATGATGCTGCAGCCAATTTCAAGCACACACTAGGGCCCATCAAGAGAGTATAATGCAGGGGGTAACAAATGGCTACATAGCGGTCATAAGCCATGGCTGCTAGCAGACAACATTCTGTGAGTCCCAAGATAGTGAATATGTACATCTGAGCTGCACAACCTTCTATGCTAATGGTCTTGATCTCTACCAGTAGGTGCACCAGCATCTGAGGTACCACACTGCTGATGTAGCACATCTCCAAAAAGGAGAGATTCACCAGAAAGAAATACATAGGCGTGTGCAGGCATGAAGTGACCCAGATGAGGCCAATGATGATAAGGTTTCCTCCCACAGTAAACAGATAGATAACTAAGAACACAAAGAAGAGCAAAGACTGTAACTCTGCTAGAGAAGAAAAAGCCACAAATGTGAATTTGGTGCAGAGGGTCTGGTTTCCAACCACCATGGGCTCAGAGCCAGACATCTGTGGAGATGAGAAAGAGAATATTTAAAACTTAAAGGAATCCAGTCACCTAACATATTCTTCATCAAATCTCAGGCAAAGACACACCTAGATCAATGGTTGGAGTTGAGAACAAAGATAGTTTGGATTCTATTTTTAAAAATCTTTTAAAGTAACTTTTAATTAAAAATGAATGCAGTGTTCCTTCGTTATACTGAATTGTGGATCCTGTGTTTTGTTACAGTAATTTAAAGAAAACAACTGCTTCTAGTTACAGATTGTAATTATCTTGTTTTTGTCTTACCAGTATTTGAATTATATGCACACATTATTACACAGGTAATATGTTCTAGTTGTAAAGGAGTCACATGTCACCTAAATTTATAGAGTGAAATATAATCATTATGATATTGCAAAATCACTACCTTCCTTAAAGTTACTTATAGTAGCTTGGTAGAGATTGTATTTCCAGTCAATTGCCTATTGATTCACATGCAAATTCTTACTTATTTTGAATTGAGCACAATAAAACAACAATTAGAAAGTTAAAATCCAAATAAATCAAACTCAACAGGATCTCCTTTCTACAACATAAATGTTAATTTGCAGATTATAATAAATAGGTACTAAACCTAGATTCACAAGTAAACTTACTTTTTCTTATTGAGCGACTAGATTTTCCAGACCGAAAAACTGTAGTAGGATAACAGAAATGGCAGTATTTCTATCCTTACTTGAGCCTACAGGGATTGACTTAATTATATTTGTCTCCAGAGAAATGTGTACAGAAACAACAACAACAAACGTTCAATGTACAAGTTGGTTTCATTTCTTGAAAACATTTTCCAGAGAGAATATACTGCTGTCAATTGCATCACTTAAGTTTTCAGTCTGTAAAACTAAAAGTATTCATTCATAAACATCATGCAATTTAAATAACTATTTAATTTTATAGATCTTTGTCATCCATCTTTTTAAAATTCCTCAAATGGACAGTTTTTTCTTCCATAAACTCCACAGATAAAGTCCATTTTATTATCTATGAATCAATTGATAGCAGCATAAATAAATAATTGGGGAATTCAAAATTTTCAGTGAAATTAATCAAACTAATTTATTAAACATATGGCAAAACATATGAGACTAAAGCCTCATCTTTCTCCCATGGAACAACTGGTAGTTTCAAGCTGCTGATCTTGAGGTTAGCAGCCTGACTTATAACCACTACTATACCTGAGCTCCTTATTTTAGGTAGACTTAAAAAAAAAAGTTTGGAGAAAGTTGATGTAGCTTTTGATCAAAACAAAGTGGTGCAGGGCTTCTAAGAATGACCATCTGCTAATAGTGTTATTTGAAATGATCAGTTAGTTTTGAGGGTTCCAGAACTAATGTCTAAACATTGGACTGGCAACCACAACATCAGTGGTTCAAACTCACCAGCTGCTCATTGGAAACCCTACGTATCAGAATTGACTTGACAGCACTTAACAAAACAACAACAACAACAACAACAAATAACTTATATTAATTTTAATGGTTTTCAAAAACATACTTCGAAATTGGTATTGGCATATTGAATCTTTTGAAAGTAGAATTTGAAAGCTGTCCATGCACTAAAATACCACTTGACTTTAGACGAACCTCAGAAAAAAAAAAAAAAAAGAGCCACTTGTAGGTACACAGTCTACCCCTTTCATAATCAGCTGTCCTTGCTCCAGATGCCATCTGGGTCCAAAAGAATTTCTTCTGGGAACAATAACCTTGGCCTTAGCCACCTGGCCTGGCAAAAACTTCTTCTGGATCAGGTGCCCTGACTCCAGACAACATAATTGTCTTATTTTTAGGAAGTCCCAGTAAGTTATTTTGTCTTTTTGTGATTTTTACTTACATGTGACAGTATATTGGTGGTGGTTGTGTACCATCAAGTTGGTTCTGACTCATAGCTACCCTGTATAGGGTTTCTGAAGTTGCAGAATTTTATGGGAGCAGAAAGCCTTATCTTACTTCTGCCAAAAGTCTGGTTGATGCCTTGCTGCTAGCAGCCCAGAGTGTAATCCACTATGATACCAGGGCTCCTTACAAAAGCCCCTCAATTTATCTCTATTTTTCTTAACTGATGAAAACTCTGATAGTTCATAGTTTTTCACTTAGGTTTTTAATCCAATTTGAGTCTGTTTTTCATATAATATATGAGTCTTGTTTCATTTTTCTGTAAATGGATATCTAATTTTGCCAGTTCCGTTTTTTTGGAGGCAGTCCTATGGTGGTGCTATAGGATAAACACTGGATCAAGGCTGGTTTGAACTGAAAGATCATTGGTTCAAACTCACCAGCTGCTAATAACAACAATAACATTTATTGAAGAGGCTATCTCTTTCCCATTTAATGTGTTTTGGGCCATTGTCAAATATCAGTTAGCTGTATGTGATGTATTTACCTATTCTTTATTCTGTTACACTGATCTTTTTATGTTTCATTGAACCAGTACCAGATAATTTTGACCATTGTGGCTGTGTAGTAGATTTTCAGATCAGGATAAGTGAGGCCTTCAACTTTGTCCTTCTTCTTAAGTAACACTTTGCTTAGCTGAGTTCTCTTTCCTCTCCATATAAAGTGTATGATTACTTTTTCTATCTCTTCTAAGAATAATGTTGTAATCTGGATTGGTATTGCATATGTCTGAAGATTGCTTTGGGTAGCGTTGACATTTTCGTCATGTCAAGTCTTTCTATCCATGAGCATGATATATTCTTTCTTTTTTTTAAGTTTTTATAGTAAATTGAGTAATAGTTTACATGGGAAAACATCAGTTTTATACTCATCCTATTGTATTTCATTTCATTGCAATTACAATTTACTCCATGCATCATCATTCAACAGTATTTGCTTCTATTCCCTCTGCTTTTTTTTTTTTTTTTTTTTTCGATGTACACCAAAGCACTCAGGGATATATAATCATTCAAACAACCAAAGGGCATACCCTGCAAGCCTGCTCCCTGTCCGCCAGCACACAACCACTCTCCCTCCATGAGTCTAGAGTCCCCAGCCACTCCTTTTCTCATCATCATCTCTACCTCAATCTCTGGCATCACTGCATCTCTGGATAGGGTTCCACACTCCACTCTTCTCCCTTGATGGTCACAGGGTCCTCCACTCCTGGACTTCAAAATCAACCACTCTCCGCTTTGTGTTACAAAATGTCTACCTTTACATTTGCAACAATTGCAATCAGTCCTGATACTAATTATTCACAGTTGAACCACAAGAGTCTTAACCCCATCTTCTTTCACCAGCCCTGTCTAGACAGGTTCAAAACCACTCAGTGGAGATTCTACTTTCCCTGCACCTTCTGAAACTAAGCTCCCTCTTGAAAACTTGTAAGTCAGTCACTTTGTGCCTTTATAGCCTCCCATTTTAGGTAGCCAATGGCTAAATTGCCCATCCCTGTCAACCCTGTGTACAGAAGAGGTGGGAATGATCCTTGATGTGAAGATTCCTTCCCTCTTTTAAGCTACTACATCCATATGTATAGGTCAAATTCATCAAATTGTAGCAGATTACACTTTTTTCCCTCTTCTTTCTTACACTACTTGAGTTCTGATCATCCAGCCATTGAATCTAGGTAAAATGGCTACTGCAAATGCGCATGTTCTTGTGCATCTCCCCTCACTTCATATCAGCTGGATGCTTCACTTTCTGCTCTAGTCCTCTCTGGCTATATCCCTGTCCATGGGCTCAGGAGTCCCCAGGTGTCACCACACTGCTGGTCAACTAGGTCTCACTCCATGGTAGGACTCAGCCCACAACTTCATTGCTGATTTTCCTTCACTTCCCCTCATTGGTAGACCAAGGTGGTCACCAGCAAGATTACATATATGCTCATGTATTTCCTTTGCGTTTAAGTCTTGGAAGGGGGTTTTCCCAGAATGGACTTGATTGCTTGCCTTGATGGCTCCCCTGCAAACAACTTGCTTGTTCTTGTGGTAGTCAACCAGACTGCTGATTTTGCTTTTTATTTTTCCTGCTATTCTTCCTTTCAAGAAGTATCTTCTGTTCCTCTAGCTGCTCCAGGCTGGTCTGCTTGTCTTTTCAAGTGGAAATTTCCCACCTCAGAAGATTCTGGATAGGGATCAGGATTCCACCTAAGGTCTTATACAATACAAAGGCTCTGAAAAAAGCCCTTTTCACTAGGCAAGTTCTAGCCCATCTTTTAGGTATTCCAATCAGTTATAGGCTGAAAACAGACTTACAAGCTTTCTATGGTGATGTTTATGGCTTTTCCTTTCCATTCCCCTCAAGTGTCTATTTTACGATAGTATGCAAGGGAAACCAAGATTCATAAGATAGTCAAACATCTTAATATTATTTCCCCTCTTTTACCCATTCAGACTATGCCTCAATCCTTGTATCACTGTTTTTCCAACGTTGAGCATGCATCACTATTTACCTCTGTCCCATTTAGCCCATGAAAACCTACCTAAATGTTCTCCTATCTGCCTTGTTTGTCCATTCCACTCCCCCTTCTTGTGCATTACTCCCTTCAACACCTGAAATATTATGTGTATATTCCCTTCCCTGTGCTATACTTTTCTCTCCCTCCCCTCATCACCACCCCCCACAACACCACTGGTAAACAACAAAGAAAAAAAAATTCCCTTTTAGTGTGGGTATTTTTTCTTAAGCTTTTACAATATGCAGTATTTTTCCTTTTGTGACTGACTAATTTCACTCAGCATAATGTCCTCAAGGTTCATTCATGTTATGTGGTGGCTCCCAGCTTCCTTGCTATTCTTCAAGGTAGCATAATATTCCATTGTGAGGATGTACCAAAGTTTGTTTACCCATTCTTCAATTGATGGGCACTTAGGCTGTCTCCATCTTTTTGCTATTGAAAATAGTGCTGCTATGAACATTGGTGTTCATCTATCTACTCATGTTATGGCTCATATTTCTTGTGGGTAAATACCAAGTACAGGGATTGTTGGGTCATAAGGTATTTCTGT